TAAAAAAAAAAAAAAAAAAAACTACAGATATGATAAAAGCAAAGGAAAAGGAAAAGAAAAAGTAAAAAAATTAGATTTCAAATCAATCATTTAGCTGTAACTCTATGAACCAAAGAAAATATTTATCTGCAACTGCTATTGTGAAGTTAAGCAGAATCCTCGGGTGATATGATATCTATACATATCATGGCATTTTCTCAAATTTCTACATCTTAAGATTAATCTGAACTGCACAAGGCCTTATCCTGTGCCACGATTTAATACGAATTTATAAGAATAGTACTACTAAATGAAAATTTAGTGAAATGAAGTTTATAAATGGTTGTAACATCAAGCCACATGCCTTGAACGGTACCTAAGGGAATGAAAGAGCACAAAAAATATCACAGATGCAAGGATAGGTAAGAGGAATAAAATCTGAATTGTAGCCTTATTCACATAAAATTTGTGCAAGAATTTGCTAAGGCTGTTCAAATCACAAACTGCAACAGCACAAATGTTTTAGAGACAGAAAGAGGAATTGACATTGCATGCATTCAAACCTGTAAGGTGTGTCACCACCAAATTTCTTTTGGTTAACAAATCCAGATAGAAGCTTGATATAACCCCCACCACATTCTATGTCCTGTTCAAATCTTATGGAATATTGGAGGACCAATGTTCTATTTTTGTTGCTGAATTCTGGTATCTTAGCAGATATGGCAAAATGCCTAGCATCAGTAGATGTCTGAATGCCTGAAAACATTCAAAATAATCAGAGACATTTAGATTTCATATTTATAGAGTGATAAACTCATTAGTAGAACAAATCAAATGTGAAATTTACAATCCTGGGGTCATTGAGATCCATTAAATTTGAAATGTATTTATTGAAATAGGACAAAAAAGTCAATAATGTTAAAATGGGCGGCTTGGTAAAAATTCTCGAATCTTTAACTCGACATTGCTTATTTAAAATTGATATTAGAATATGTTACATTAAACTTGAGTTTTATCTTTGATATGTACACAGTGAGCAGCCTTCAATTCAATCATTCTTTATCTTTAATTCAAAACCTATCTATGTTCGTTAAAAGTACAAAATTATCCACATCATCACCAATTATCACCCGTGAATTCAAGGATACATAGCTTCCTGTCTTTCTTAATTCAAGATATGTTACTTGGACTCAGGAACAAGTAAATATGTCTAAATGTTGGGTTAATTGGAACTCTAGATTTTGGTTACATGGACATACCAAAAACATTAATTCTTATTATTGATGACAGAAAATGCTAAAACCTCCACATCAATCTCCAAGTAAGATTCTCGCCTCAAACACCGCTAAACAAACACAATTAACTGAAGCAAGCATGTTCAGCCTTCCAAAGAAAGGGTGTAAATAGCGTACCACAGTCCATACCAAAGTCACACATGAAACAATTGCATTTAGAAACAAATTGAAACAGTTTTGGCTCAATGAAATATGTGTGTGTGGGAGTGTGATGGTCGCCAACTTATGTAAAGAAGAATGGGATTGTCCATAAGTTGTAGGTTCTAGGCAAGGACAAGTAACGGCCAGGGAGTATGCAATAGTTACCATCTCTTCTTCTTTAAGATCTAATCATTTCTTTTTAAATTAAATGCAACTATATGCTTTCCTCTTTTTCATAAGAATCTTCCTTATTCCTTTTTTATTTCTCTCAATTTAGCCAAAACAGATCCCCTTGTACTTGGGCTTTCACATTACAGATTAAATCACAAAAGAGCATGATAATCTCTTCTCTTTATTCACATGAAAAAAGATGTCTAATATTGTATTACAATCAAAACTATTCAAAATGCAAGTGATATACATATGAAAAGCTATATAACTAATTTACATCTTGAATACAGTTCCTGATTATATGGCCATTGCTTTATATTGGACAAGTGTCTGGCACCCATGTCCAAGTATCAAGCATCCGAGACTGCTACTTAAGCATTTTAAAGGGGTTTGACAAGATGGAGGAACGAAACATTCAAGTGTTGCATAGGATTTAATCACACGCTGCAAACTCTAAACAGACTAACCGATTTTCTTCAAGTTCATACATTACACAATTAAAGATTATAAAGTTAAAGAAATAAAACCTTTATCATCAGGATCACCGGACCACTTCCCTGCAGTGTGCTTAAAAGAGCCTGCTTTCCCTTCACTCCTTTTCCAATCTGACTTCACCCACCTACTCTGCCACCCATCTTCTCACAGCAATAAAACAAAATACACATTAATCCATACATTCACTTAAATGGATGATAAAACTAAAACAGCATCTAATATACTTCAATCCTCAAAACCATACCAGAAAACACAACCAACATTAAAGATAAAAAACTATAGCAATGGGTAAAGTTTCTGGATTAATTAGTTCCAAGAACCCTTAATTTTATCAACAAATCTTGGTTGCTCACATATCTAATTACATGTAAAAGATAAGAACTTAAATCAACCGGTTAAGCACAAAGCATAAGATCGAATCATAAAAACCTCAAACTAGATCGCGAACGATCCACAAGAAAATTAATCTAATTTAAGCCCAGATATTAAATGATAGTACCAAAGATTTGTAATTACTAATATGGTATTAGCATGTAATTAAATTAAAAATGCAAAGATTCTTACCTTCAAAACGCTCTTCAAAAATGATTTCAGCAAGGGAAGAGCTGAAGAGTGAAAATAACACTAGTAGAATTTGTACTATATGTTTGTTCCTAAACTGAGGAGCCATGTTGGGTTCACTGCTACTTGCAGTTGCAGAGCTAATTATAGAAAGTAGGTTATACATTGACCCAAGTCTTGAGGTTTATTTACGGTCATGACCCTTATAATGATTTCTTTATCGACCTTCGAATTTTCTCATTTTGCACGTAGGTTTGTCCAATGGGATTCCTTCTTGTAATTTCTATGGGTCCGTTGCGGTCAACTCCCATTTTCATTTTTAATTGACTTGCTAAATTTCTAGTAATTTTTAATTTGAATTTTTTAGATTGTTTTTTATGTGAGATCTAGATGTCTTAATTTAGCCCATGTTTGATCCCCATTAAATTAAATTTCATTTTTCTCTCTCCTATTTTCAACCACACAATCTTTCATAAAATAATAGTACACGTAAATCGAAAACTTTTTCATCTTTTTCAACCACTCATTTTTCTAAAAAATACTATTCTCCCCATTTTCATTTTCAGGTAATGGAGATCAAACAGGGGCTTAATAGCTTAGAAGAAAATTTGTAAACAAGGACCAAGCTATCTTAACAGAGAGGATTTGACACCCTTTCTATCATACACTCATAATAGGAGGTGGGTGAGTGCACTTTTTTTTTTTTTTTTNNTAAATTGGGGGGGGGGGGTGCCCTTTTTTTTTTTTTTTTATTCAAGCGAGTTGCACTCGGGTTCCATCGCATGTGAGTGAATGTCAACTAAGATGTCAAAATTTTTCTGGCAAATAAGCTTTATTCTATAAACAATAAGAGGTCTTTAAGCTAATAAAATTCTAATTTCTACTCTGCATCAAGGAAAGATGTGATGATTAGTTAAAATTTTAACTGTCGAAATTGTAAAAGCATTATATATTTGTCTTAACTCATGTTTGGTAAAAATTAAAATTAAAATTTTAATTTAAGTCAAAGTTGACAATTAATTTTAACAATGTTTTTCATGTGATCTATAACTTTTCAACCCCACATTTCATCAACTTCTATTAAAATCTATTAAAAATCTGATTTTAATTTTCACTAACGAGAAGCTTAATTTTTATTCACATCTTATATTAAAGTTATAAAATATAAAAGGACAATTGCAATTTTTTTTTTTTGTTTTTAATTCAAGTATGTCAATGAAAGGTATCGAAGCTAGGGGTTGAGCCGCCCTCTCCATCTCATCTCATGCCCTATGGAACTTCAGGGGTTCGGGACGGAAGATTAAAATATCTTCATTTCTTTTCGTGTTTTCATATTTACATTTTTATTATTTTTTTATATTATTAAAAAATGATTTCAATTCCAAAAATAAAAATTAAGAGTCATGATGAAAATCGCACCCCACCATTATTTCCCGATGGGTCGAGGTCGGGCTAAATATTTTGAGTTTTTCTATCTGCGACCAATGTGGCGCCCCCTATTTGAACAGGGAGTTGTTCAAGTAGCATGATTCAAATATTTTACCATCCTAAAATTATTTATAAGGTTCGTAATATAAATATCTTTCAAATAAATTTTAAATTGAGCAAAGAACCGAACCCCACGCATGGGCTGGGAAAGTAATCTTGTAATATTTCCAAGAATTAGGGTTATTTTGGCTTGACTTATCTCAAATGACCTTGGCTTGCCGAGTTGACTTTCGTCTTCGCAGTAGTTTCCTAAGTACCATTTATATTCAATTTAATTTAAGCCAATAAAAGTGCGCTTGTTTGGTGTTTTTTATGTCCTTTCGCAAGTCTTATATGTAATTAATAAATAAATAAAAATTTAAATTTTATAAAATATATAAATAAAAATAGAGTTTTGACCAACTTATGAGCAATGATGATCTTTGCAAACATACACAAAAATAAAAAATAAAATACTTAATTGCTTTAGTAATGGGGTGTTTGAGAGATATTTTTATGTAAAAATGTATTTTAAAATAATAACTTAATGGAAAGTGTGTGGTTGAAAAATAAGGAAATTTTTTTGATTTACGTGTAATATTATTTTAATAAAGAATGTGTGGTTAAAAAGAAGAGAGAGAAAAATACATTTTGAAAAAATGGGTACCAAACGGGGACTAAAATTAGCCCCTATTTGATTTAAATAAAAATTAATTTTTTTAATTTAATAACAAATTTTGATAAAAATTGATGAAATATGTGTTGAAAAGTCATCAATCACTTGATATGTGTGATTATAATTTAATTATTGACTATAACTTAAATTTTAATAGGTTTTTTTAGATGAGCAAAAGGAGCTTATTTAAAAATAGATTATTTAAGCTCAGCCAACAACACTTATATATACAAAAAGCTACTTTGTAATTATTTTTTTGACAGCTACAATCAAGAATTCATTAATGTAAATCATCATGATCAACAAAAGAAAATAAATAATGGAACATTGTCTTCCAGATATGTGCAATCGAAAAAGAAATAGCAAAAGAGGCGAGTTTGTGAACAACTTTGTCTCCCCTCTAGAGGTATAAAGCAACACGAGCCATATTATTTCCCGATGGGTCGAGGTCGGGCTAAATATTTTGAGTTTTTTTATCTGCGACCAATGTGGCGCCCCCTATTTGAACAGGGAGTTGTTCAAGTAGCATGATTCAAATATTTTACCATCCTAAAATTATTTATAAGGTTCGTAATATAAATATCTTTCAAATAAATTTTAAATTGAGCAAAGAACCGAACCCCACGCATGGGCTGGGAAAGTAATCTTGTAATATTTCCAAGAATTAGGGTTATTTTGGCTTGACTTATCTCAAATGACCTTGGCTTGCCGAGTTGACTTTCGCCTTCGCAGTAGTTTCCTAAGTACCATTTATATTCAATTTAATTTAAGCCAATAAAAGTGCGCTTGTTTGGTGTTTTTTATGTCCTTTCGCAAGTCTTATATGTAATTAATAAATAAATAAAAATTTAAATTTTATAAAATATATAAATAAAAATAGAGTTTTGACCAACTTTTGAGCAATGATGATCTTTGCCAAACATACACAAAAATAAAAAATAAAATACTTAATTGCTTTAGTAATGGGGTGTCTGAGAGATATTTTTATGTAAAAATGCATTTTAGAATAGTAACTCAATGGGAAGTGTGTGGTTGAAAAATAAGGAAATTTTTTTGATTTACGTGTAATATTATTTTAATAAAGAATGTGTGGTTAAAAAGAAGAGAGAGAAAAATACATTTTGAAAAAATGGGTACCAAACGGGGACTAAAATTAGCCCCTATTTGATTTAAATAAAAATTAATTTTTTTAATTTAATAACAAATTTTGATAAAAATTGATGAAATATGTGTTGAAAAGTCATCAATCACTTGATATGTGTGATTATAATTTAATTATTGACTATAACTTAAATTTTAATAGGTTTTTTTAGATGAGCAAAAGGAGCTTATTTAAAAATAGATTATTTAAGCTCAGCCAACAACACTTATATATACAAAAAGCTACTTTGTAATTATTTTTTTGACAGCTACAATCAAGAATTCATTAATGTAAATCATCATGATCAACAAAAGAAAATAAATAATGGAACATTGTCTTCCAGATATGTGCAATCGAAAAAGAAATAGCAAAAGAGGCGAGTTTGTGAACAACTTTGTCTCCCCTCTAGAGGTATAAAGCAACACGAGCCATAATTCACCTGATTCAAGAACAACAAAATCTTATCGAATAGTAGCATTTGGGACAAAATTAAAATCAGAAATTGGACTCCGCACACATATCGTTGATTATATTAAGAACATATTTAATTCATTAAACCTAGTGATAGACAAAATTCATCAGGCGAAATCTATTAGTCCTTTTCAATCTTATTTATGTAAAATAGCACTATACCGCAAGCATTAGCCACGACAAAGGGAAACTAGGTAAGGGAAACAAATGGTCCTTCGGAAACTTCTCAATTGCGAACATCCACAGAAATAATACTATCAACCAAGCATGATCGATTACAATGTCGCTAAAATCTTTTTGTAAGTTCAAGGACTCGAGAATGGTAGAAGTCTTGAGGCTAAAATATCAGCCGAATTCAGCAAATGTGCAGGTCAATTTCTGTAAAAGTTTATATCAATTTTGACTAAAATAAAGCTTAGTTAGTAAAATGACACTTTGCTATAATTCGAGAAAAGTGTATTTGGGTAAATAGTAGCAAATATCCCAAATCTTTCATGTTATTCGAAAATTCATCCTCGACCTTTGGGAAGTTGAACTACTAATTCACATGGAATATTTTCTTCCATTTTCATTAATCAACCCATTTGACTAGCAAATTGAAAAAAAAAAAAATCATAATTAAAAACAAAAGGAAAAAAAATGAATAGATGAAGGTCTAGATGCTTTTCAACGGCAACATTTGATGATTATCATATTATGTTCATGTGATTTTTCCTATTTGAGTTCTTTGTGATGGTAATTTTGAAATACGAACACATAAAAGTGAATAGTATTTTTCAGTTTCGTGCATGTTACTTTGGTAGACCTGTCCATGGCAATGTGGAAAAAAATGGTATCTACTTGTCAACTCTAAGAAAGATATTGGAAAAATGACATGACAACCATGTAGTGGAAGTGATAATGATAGGGCTTAGGCTAGAATATGATGACGTTTTTTAATTTTTTAATTCTTTTATTTTGTTTTTTGTTTGATAAATGTTTTATTTATTATTTATTTTTTTTGTTTTTTTTCAATTCGTTAGTCAAAACTGACTAGCATTGACTGATAGAAAAGTAGATATTCATTTGAATGAATGAAGTTAATTTTCCAAGTTAGAAGCACGTATTGGGTCCGTTTGATTGTAAGAATGAAATTTGGGTGGAAAGAAAACGAATTTTAGGGAATTGAATTGCTAGAACTTGTTTTTCTGAGAATTGTTAATTAATGTGTTTGATTGGTATAATTTTTTACATGAAAAATGTTGAAATTTTTAATCTTTTGGTGTTCATTTGGTTTTATTTTTCATGAAAATGGTCGATTAAAGGGACAAAATTTGTTACAATTGAAGAGAGAATTTATTCCAATTCCCAAAAAAAAATCTTCTGATTTTCAACAAAACCAAGG